CCAGATGATCTGTGAGTGTGCACTGCTCTAACCTCCTGTTTAGTGTGCTGGTGATTGTGGTATTGAAGTTTATTCCTGATCTGATTCTTTCCTCCTTTCCTGCCTGCCAGCATCTTTGACAGACAACAGAATTCTATTTTAGATCTATACCAGGTAATTACGTTTGCTTGGCATGTTGCAGTGCTCCTTGTTACTTTGCATTCAGAAGTGTTAGTCAGGCAGGGGAAAGTGCCGTGACATGGAGTAAAATCACATTGCAGCCCAGCTGTAGCCCCTCAAGATCCCTTCCTCCAAGAGTCCCAGGGCTTGTGGTTCATTCTCCCAAGTATTTGACCTGGCTACAGAGCAGGATCCTGACATAAATGCCCGAGTTAAGCAGAGACAGCTAAAGTGATGAACCTCACCCAAATATTGACTCTATACAGGTGGGAGAAGGTGGCACAGATCCTGTCCTGAAGCTGGGAGAGATGAATTACCAGGAGGTAAATAAAGTGTCTGGTGAGTCCTGGGAGGGCTGTTGGCTTGGATAATGTATGGCCTGTTGTGCCTTTACTGCAGAAAGGCTGTTTCAAAAGGTGTTTGCAGAGCTGTGTGCAAGTTCATTGTGCACATTTTATGTGGCTGGAGGAGCTTTATCAGGATGAATGGACCCATGAGCACTAAGAGAAATTAAGCAGAACTCCCTGCCACGTCCTTGCCTTCCTGTGTGCACTGTGCAGGCTTCCCATGAGATCACAAGGAGCTGCAGGAGCCCTGCCTTGGGCAGCAGCCTGTGGGAAGCTCCAGACAAAATATACTGAGAAACTCTGCCACCAACTCATGAGGTGCAGAGGGGATCCCCTTGCTTTTTAAACTTCTCAGACAGGAGCCTGAAGGTGGCTGGATGCAATCTTAGCCTCAGACTGTCAACAATTCAAATAACTTTGAAATTCAAGTAACAAGCAAAATTTAAAGATGGATTTAAAGATAGCAAATCAGATATATTTATATAAAACAAATTATTTATTATGACAAATGATTAGACAAAATCAGAATTACTAACTATACAGAATAAAAGCTGAAACTACTAATAGTTATGTAGTATAACATAGTGCACTAAACTAAAGCAGTTGTATTAAAGGTAGCAAAAAGAAACGTTGATGTAATTCACCATACCAACACTGAGAGTGGACAGGTGTCTTTCTCTTAACATAAGGAGCAACCTTGAGGGGCATCCCCACTCAAGGGCAAATCTCCACACTCTGTTCAAGAAGGGGTACCTCAGAAGAACCTATTGTAGGGAAAGTGGACTGGATTTTGAGAATGTAAAGGAGCTGTCAGTCATATGCTTGCAGTCCAGTTTAGCAGCTTATCTGCCAAAGCTTTGCCTTGCTGTCAGGATGCCGATTTGGGCTTGGTGTGCCAGACTGAGTTTCAGCTGAATTCAACACCAAAACAACACAGAGGACCCTTCTCAATCCACCCTGACAGATTTGCAAATAAGACGTTGTCCACTGAGTTCTTGACCACATTCCAGGTCAAAGCATGAGGGGAAAGCATCCTGCCACAATTCCACAGGATAGAAATGACCCCACAGATGGGCTGGAGCAGAGCAGAGCTGCTCCCCGGCTGCTGGAAAATGCAGCGTGAGCCCACACTGTGCCAGGGCTCCCTGCCTGTGTGTGCCCACATCACTGGCACCCTCAGGTGGCACCTCCAGCAGGGAGGGCAGGCTGAAGGTCCAGGTGCTGCCAGTCCTGGGTGTCCCCATCTGCTGTGTGACATGGGAACAGCAGCTGCTCCTTGGGTGCACTCTGGACACTGGGGATGCCCTGAGGCACAGGAGGCAGGGCAGGGCTCCCCTCACCCTGCAGGGGAAGAGGATGCAGCCCTGTTCAGGCTTCAACAGCAGTGGTTTTTCCCTGAACAGAGAGCCCTGAGTACAGCTAGACAATTTAGTCAAGGTCAAGAGTCACAGAGGGAATGTGGGAAACATGGATTCAAGTCCCTCTTCAGTTTTAATTAATACAGATCTGAGCTCAGCTTCCCTCCCCTTCCCCAGGACGACTCTGGGTATTGTGGAGAGTTACCCAGTAGCCCAAATGATGTTTTTCAGCACTACATCCATGCACATGTCCTGCAGTGGGAAGCAGGAACTTGCTTCCCTGGCAGGCAGCCCCTCACTGCACAGCAGCCCTCGCTGCTCCTTTCTTGATGGAAATGTTGCTGTTTGATGGCATGAGAGAGACATGAAACCACATCTGCAGGGTGGGCTGGGAGACATCTCGTGAGCTGATGTAAAACCCAGTGGCCTGGACAGACTTGGAGAGGATTTCTGTCCTGCTCTTACCAAGCAGTGGCAGGATTTGACCTTGATGGAAGCCATGCCCAGGGCTCCTTGTCCTCTTTGTGTGGGGTCTGTGTGATGTCTTACAGAGCTGCTGGCAGAGGTTTGGGCTGACACTGGCCCGTGGTTTGCTGTGCACTGCATCTCTTCAGGCTGCCTACCCTAGAGTGTGCTGTTCCCTTTCAGAAATGCTCCTGCTGCAGCTGCAGGCTCCTGAGCACTCCTGCAGCACGCTTGGCCATCAGGCACCACCTGGGCTGGGGCTGAGAGCTGGTGTTCAGCTTAACCCTCTCCTCTTCCTGCTTTTTTATTGGCTTTAATTCATCACTTTCCACATGGGTAAGTGGCTTTTTGGTGGCTATTTCTTGCCAAGTGCTGCTGCTGGCTGCCTTGTCTCATCCACAGACCAGGTGGTGAAGATTCCTCCTGCAGGATTGCTCCTGCAGGCAGCTGCTGTGCCCTTGGGCTGGGTTTGGGCATCATGAGGTGCTCTCAGTCTACAGTCAGGTGTCCATCAGGAGCCTGTCCCCACTCAGACCACTCTGTGATGGCAGCCCATGTGTGTGTGCAGCAGGGACATGGCTCAGGTGGGATGGTGCTGTGACCTTGAGGCCCTCCTTGCTGAGGATACACAGGGAGAATCTCGTGGGGGGAACCACACAAGCAGCTCTTCTGTCCAAGGGGTGTCTTGAAGTGGTGGTGTTGTCCTGCAGAGGTGGGATCAGGAGAAGGCAGGCTGGCAAGGACATGGCACAGCACCCTGAGGGGGCTGAGCCTGCTGTGAGGGAGATCTGGAGCTTAACGCCTGGGCAAAGTTTGGTGGCCTCAGTCTGCACAAAAATGAAACCCCTGCCTGCAGATGGAAATCTGTCCTCTCTTCTGAGCAGGGGAAAGCTCTTCAGCTCCTTGCTCTCAAAGTCGTGGTTGGCTCCTCAGCTGCTTCTGCACCTCCTGTGGGCAGCCACACCACGCGAGTACCAAGTGCTGTTTGTGGTGGTGGTGCAGGCTGTGCTGCAGCTGCAAAGCCCAGCACACCACACTGCTCCATCCTGCCTGCTCACAGCTCTGCCACAGGACACATCCTCCCTGCCCCAGGCTCAGCCCAGCCGGGCTGTGTGTGACCATCCTGTGTGCAGCCTGCTCCCACAGGCACTGCTGACAGCAGGAGCTCTGCCGGGAAACGCGGAGGCAGCTCCTCCAAAGGTCACCCTGGGGGTTACGAGCACGGAAAGGCTCAGATGTGTGACAAAGCTGTGGCTGTGACAGAGGGGAAGTGTGCACTGTGAGTGCTGTTACAGGAGCTCAGGAAACCAAAGCTTGTGGAAGGAGGAGGGGTTGGGGCGCTCTGTGGCATGAGCACCTCACCCCCAGCACTGGTCCCACGAATGCAAGCAGCTGGGAGAGAGAAAAACCAGGGGAGTGAAGATGTTCAGCCACCAGAGTCAGGCAGCAGCTCTGCTCCTTCACTGCCCTGGGGAAGGCAGCACTTGGCTGGAAGCGTTGGGATGTGCAGTGCTTGGGATCCAGCGGATCCAGCACTGGTGTCATCAAAGCTGCATGGCTGTCTTGCCATCCAACATGAGCCTTGCTGAGGGCCATGGTGGTGCCCACAGGTAAGTGGCTGAAGTGGGTGAGATGAGACCTGTCACCTCCAGTTAGGTAAAATGAGTCCCACCTGCTGTTCTTGGACAAACTTGGAAAATAACAGGAATATTTTACTATGCAAGAAGCAGTCCCCCGTGATAATTTAAAATCATATCAATGTGTATTAGAGATAGGAGCTACCTACAGATCCTTAAGTCACCATCACATGAAATGCCCCTGGCCATGAGGAAATGGGCTTTTGGAAGCAATCTTTGCACCGAGTCTACACAGGATTGTCCTGCAAGGCAGACTTGTCCTCACTGCCAGCTGGTGAAGCTGTGCCAAGGTTTATGTCCCCACAGCACACACCTCTGGAGCAGAGCAGGCTCCTTCAATCAGGACTCAATTCTCCAAATTCTTTTGGTAGAAGATCAGATTTAAAAAGCCATTGTTTTGGTTTTTTTTTCAGTGGCAGCATATCTCTGCAGCTTTCTAGTCTTGTCTCCACTGCCCTGTTGACCACTGGCTTCTCTGACTTCCCAGGGATTAAAAAGAGCAGGATAGGTCATGAGAGGAAACTTTTGGTGGCAAAAAAATTTAACAGCACAGAGATGCAGTAGCACAGTCTGTAGCTTCTGACTCTACCTCCAGCCTGGCAGCCACGGCAGCTTCCCAACACTGAGCATCTCCAGTGTGCTCAGCCCTCAGCATTAACCAGCCATCAGTCATGCTCTAAATGATGCTGAGATGTGGTTTAGAGCCCGAGTTTGTTTCTTTAGAGAATCCATGCTGGTCTCCTTTATGTACACTCTGGTATTTAAGTTTTCCTACCTAAGAAGACAAGAAACTTCTCCTTTTCAGGCCTCTTTCTCACATTGTCATGCCCTTTCGGGGCCAAGGGTTATCAGGAAATGAGTCAGGAGTCACCAGAAGGTCACAAGGTCACTAGGTGCCCTGCTTGTTGCACCTGCAGTGCTCTGCTGAAGCCACTCACAGGGCAATGCTCCCTGACTTTCCTAGAAACTGGGACTGTCGGAACCCAGGACATCTCTCTGGATGCCCTGGATGTCTCATTGCCTCCCAGTCCCAGCTCCCCAGCCTCCCCCAGCACCTGCTGAGGTGTTAATATCTCCTCTGTGCCAGGGGCTGGAGGTGTGCAAGGCTGCTGCTCATGGATGGTGCTCACAGTGCTGTGAGCTGTGGAACTGCTGCTGGGCAGGCAGGAGCTCTGGGGTGCCAGCACGGTGTGGCTGCTGAGGCTGGGGCTGGGAGGGGTCATGATGGGGCAGGAATGGGCTCATGATGGGGCAGGAATGGGATCTCCCAGCTGTTTGACCTCCAGCCACAGTAGGAAATGCAGCGTGGGGCTGGGCTGGCTGCAGTCACTGCCCTGTGTGTGTGGGGTGGATGCTGATGGCACAGCTGCTGTCAGGAGCTCCTGCAGGAGCAAATGCTGTCTGTGCAGGTCTCTGGTGAGGCTGCCTTTCTCAGAGGTGCTCCCTGCCTCCAGCTGCTGCTGCAGCCAGCTTCAGCAGTGTCACCTCATCAGCACTCAGGTGCACTGAGCTGATTGCTCAGGGCACCTACTGCCACTGCCCCCGCCCCCAAAGGGGCTGCTGAGGTGCTCACAGTTTATCAAACCCAGCAGTCCCCAACCCATCAGCCCCACCCACCTGCTGTGCATAGCAGAGGGTCCCAGTGCCCTTCATTTGGAATTGTGTTGGTCCAGCAAGCTGCACCTCTGAGGGAGGTGGTTCTGCTGACCACAGAAACACTCCCAGGGCTCAGTCCTTCATGTCCCACCCCTCCAGCCCTTATATGTGCACATGGAAAAAGAGAGTGAGGCACAGGGGAGCCTCAGCATCTCACAGAAATGTGAGATTCTGTGGTGCAGACCAGCCCCTCCTCATTCCCTGTGAGCAGGTTTAGTGCTGCTGTGTAAACCCAGCTGCAGGTCTAATCCCTGGGGAGCTGCCAGCTGCTCAGACTCCAGTTTGTCCCCAAATCCCACACACCCTCCTCGCCCTCTGCCTTCCCCCTTGCCAACAGCATGTGTGCACCTGGGGAGAGACATTCCTGGTCCCTCTGATAAGGCTGTTGCAAATACTGAGGAAGAAAGAAGAGGGAATGATAGCACTTCCTCCTCCTCTCCTCTCAGTTTCTTCATGGCTGAAAGGTCAGTGATCCTTTCTGTGGTCAGGGAGGTTGTGGTTTCCTGGTATTCCCATGGGAATCAGGGTTTCTGGGGCAGACATCAGCTGCCCCAGCATTGCTGAGGACCCAGCTGGTGCTGGTTCTGTCACCACAAGGTTTCCAGCAGTTTCAGCTCTGTGCTGGAGGCTGCAATGTGCCCGTCTATGGCTTTGCAAATCTCTTTCCTCCTCTGCAAAACAGTGCTGTGCAAAGCACTGAAGTGCAAAGCTGGAGGGTTTATTACAGCAGGTGGTGGGGAAAGGCTTAAAATCCAAAATTCAGCTAAAATCTGTGCTCTGTGGGTCACCCCCTGCCTTCCATCCTGCCCCCAGCACAGCCTGCTTACACACTGTTGGGACAGACAAATTTTCTGAGGTGACAGCCAGATGCCTTAAGACTGAGGGAAAGCCAAACCAAAATAAACCTGATGTAGCTGGGTGCTTTAATTTGCAGGAAGAGCTGTGCAGCAGCAGGCTGAATCTTTCTTGCTGCATCAAGCATAAATTCATCAGGTATTACATTTCCTGGGAAAAAAAATAAAGCAGAATAATTCACTTGGAAATAAAGAGTGGAGCTATTTTTCCCTCTGACACGGTGAATGCAATTACCTAAGGCATGGGAGGCTGAGATAACTCACTGATTCAGCCCCCACTCTCCAAAGAAACCATCATCATTCTGTCAGAAAAGGCTTTAAACTCCAATTCACATCCTGAATGCTAAAACATCACCACATACAGAAGCTGTCCTTATGATTTCCATGCACCAGCTGCTGCATCACAAGGAAAACACACTCATAGACAGGCCCAAATTTATTATTGTCAAGGCCATACACACAGTGCAAGTTCCCTGTGTTTGCTGACCCTTTTTCCCGTGCTGTTGGTGTCTCCCTGTCCATCAGGAGCAATTCCTGTGAAGCAAAGCCCACTGGCACCCTGGTAGTAGTGTGTGAGCCACGCTGGGGCTGGGAAAATGTGCATGGGGGTTGAGAGTCTCAAGCTGTGTCTGTTTGGAGAGCTCAGTGCAGGCAAGCCATAAGCCTGTGATTGCCCCCAAATTTAATTCCATTTAGGCAGCACTCTCCCACCTCTTCTGCCATTACATAATGGGGAGCAGAGTAATGACTTTCAGCAATACTGTTTGAGTGGCAGCAGTCCAATTGGACTGTATTTTTTTTTTAAATGGTGGGGGGAGAGCAGGTTGGCAGAGGGGAGAAAGCATCCGTTTGGTTCGTCTGCAATCCCCGTTTCGCTTTGGGAGCTTTAGAGGACAGACACATTCTTCCATCTCCGCTAATCCTCCTCTGATACAGAGGATTTTCCTGCCATTAAATGATAGCTTGTGAGAAAAAAATGCCAACTTTTCAGAGACTGACTGCTATGGCTAAGGGCAGCCTCATCAGCAGGAGGGAGGACACAGCCACTGCCTGGCCAGGTAAGCAACGCATCCAGATGATTTCTGTTGGGAATTTTGGTTTCCACTCTTTGATGCTAAGCTGGTTACACTTCTCTGTACCAGCACCTATTTCCTGGGGATAGAGCCAGTCCCTTACTGCTGGTGATCCTTTCCCACCTCAGATGAGAGGAATCTGCCTTTGGCATGGCTCGTGGGAAGGACGCAGATGAGCTCCTGAAAAGCAGTGGCACAAAGCTGCAGGATTCCCTGAGAAGGTCAGTGGTGGAAGGAAGATACTCACCAGGAAGGTGCTGGGGACTTCTTCAGTTTGAAAGTGTGTGAGAGAAGAGCATTTTCCTTCATCTTCCTGTCTAAACATAAATCTTTTTGTGGAAAAATGATGCAGGGAAATGACAGAGGATGAAACCCATCTCTATTCTTCCTGTGTGCTTTTAGATCCCTTAAGTTTTCTTGCCAGACCTGAAATGCCACTAGAGAATCATCAAGGTAATGTTTGCCATCGTTCTGAATGGTGAGTATACCCTTATTCTGCATTATCCAGTAGTGGATTAGACAGATCATTTTGAAAGGTGGTGGTGAAATATTCAATTATTACTACCATTGTGTCTTCACCCTTCTTAAGAATCTGCAACCTTTCTTTTTTGTTTCTTTTCCTTTGGTCTCTCACTCTTTTCTTACAAATACTGAGTTACTGTAGTATTTAAAAGAGCAAAAGATATCATCCATGGGAGGAATTTTTTTAATTCTTTAATGTCACAAATGTTTTTGACCTTACTGCTCTATTTCACCCTTTTGTTCAAACACACGTCTCATTTGAGTGCCTAAATGTGTCACTGAGGGGCTGAAAGCTTCCAGTGCTGCCCTTTTTTAGAGAAGGGGAAGGAGTGAGGTAGGAAAGATGGGAATGTTTCAGGCTATGTTGATCAGAGGAGACCTCACCAATGGGGAAGAGCTGATCTCTTTTTCCCTGAGCAACAGCTCTCCAAGGGTTTAGTATGGTTCATTGGAAGATTTTTCCCAAATTTCTTGCCAGGAGAAAGAGGGGAAATTTCCCAACAAAGGCTGCATTGCTGAGGGGTTTCTCTGAGGTCCAGTTTTCTCATTAGATGGTCCTCACACTCTTGCTGTCCATGTCCCACACATTGCAAAGATGCACTTGTAAAAAGAGATCTCAGAAGCCTGCTATGAAATGCCACGAGCAGAAGACCCAGATTTGGCACTTGTGTATATGGAAAACAGGCTGGATATGGCTTGGGGCAGACATTTCCTTTATTGAGTGCTTAGAGGAGAAGCAGGGGGGAAGGAGGGGATCTGGTTATCAGCAGGCTCATTCCTACACTGCCCACCATGTGCTCAGCAGTGGGTGGAGGGCTGCTCTGAAGGCCAGGGATGTGACTGAGCTTGGGCAGCTGGAGCTAAACATGGACCTTGCTCAGAACAGCCTCACCTATAGGACAGCCTATGCACAAATGCCCCTCTGGATGTCACCCTGAACCCACACAAGGCTCCCTACCAGCAGCAGCCCTTGCATCCATCCTTTTCCAGACAACCACCTGCAGTCAGACATTTGGGAACAGGCAAATCCTTAATCTGTCTGGCCCTCAGTTTATGTAACTGCCTAACAAAAACAACATATGCCCCTGTTGGCATGCAGAGGGTGGACTGGTGCAGAGGGGAGCAAACGAGGCAGCCCCTGGGCAGGCTGCACAAAGAATGAGCAATCTGGGACCAGCTTATTGTTCCTCCTCTCGACCTTAAACTCCAGCTGTTGTCAGGAGGATTGAAGGGGACTTTCCTTTAGCTGTGGCTGTTAGATAAGGGCATGGGAAAAAGAGGAAGAGCAGACAAACAAAATGACAACCTGTCTAAAATCCTTTCCACCTCCCAGAGTCCTTCACTATCATTTATCCTTGAAGTGATGTTGTTTTGCTAATTCTCCAGTCACAATAGTGTGCCCAGGCATGATGAGACCTGAATTTTGATGAAGAGGCCACAGCTCATCCTTTTGTCATGCTCTCTGTGTATTCAAATGCCTTTCCTACATGCAATAACCAGAATGGTTTGAACAGACCCAGGCTCCAGGGCAGCTCCTGGGTTGGTGCCCTTCAGCAGGGCCTTGCCCAACAGCTGGTTTTGCAAGCCTCTTTAACACAGGGAGTGTAAACTCCTAAATACAGCCCCGTGCATGCTGTCTTTAGAAAGGATGGAGGAAAGGCAGAGCAATCGTGGCCCAAACTGTCTTTTGTCCTGTACGTTAAAGCCTTAAGGACTGCAAAAATAAAACTTGATGCTTGCTGAAGCTGATGCATCTTGGCATATCAGCTCACAGTCTGTTTTATTAAAAATGCCCATGGGAATACTGCTGTAGAGGGCAATCCCCGTGCTGCAAACCACAGGGAGAGGCAGCCCAGCTGCTGGGAGCTTCCCCCTCTGGACACTCAGCAGGAGTATGGAGGAACCCCCCCGATCCCAGCAGCCCAATAATAGAGGTGGCTGTTGGTAAAGCTGTTGGTATCTCACGTTTTGCTGAAAAAAAAAGAAGAAAAGGGTTATGTTTGCATGGGAGTTAATAAACTGCAGCAGAAAACCATTTTGCAGCAGCAATAGCACCATTTTGTGCTTATGACTACAGCTGGTGGGCTGCTCATTTTGTGGAGGAGAAGGAAGGGTGTGTCTGGGAGCAATTAGGAAAACTGCCTTCAGTTCTTCCTCTCTAATGAGTTTATATTCATGGATTCAGACAAAGGAAGGGACCTAAAAGATCATCTCATTCCAAGCCCCCTGCCATGAGCAGGGACACTTCACTAGATCAGGTTTCTTAGAGCTTCATCCAGCCTGGCCTTGAGCACTGCCAGGGTTGGGGCATCCACAGCTTCTCTGGGTGTCCTGTGTCAATGCCTTACCACCCTCACAGTAAAGAATTTCTTCCATATATCTGACCTAATTTTTTCTCTCTTTCAGAGGGAAAAAGCATTTTGCAGTGAAAAAAAAAATATCAGTTTTCAGATTTTTTTGACTGGATGTTTTTTTCCCTGCAAAATCCCTGTCTGTAGAGGCTGATGTTTCCCAGTCCTTTTGCTCCTTTTTGCTCTTCTCTCATTTCTCCCAAGAGCCTTCTTCTCTTCCCTGTTGTTCACCCACGTGTGTGGGACTAACCTGGGAGGAAACAACAGCCTTGCACCTCCCGTGTCAGGCTGATAAAGGACAGAGTGGCTGCTCCCATCATAAGGCACTATGGTGACTTTTGAGAATTGGCAAAGCAGCAAAAACTGTGCTGGAGATGCAGAGTTTCTCATCCATGATCATGAGATCATGAAGCCAGCAGTCAAACAATATCTCTCAGTTTGTTTTCATCCACACTGTCATAGCAGTACACAGTGGGAATGTGTTTTCAAACACTGCATTGAATCTCCTTGAGAGCTGAGAGTTCCCCTTCCAGTGCTGCACCAGCTCAGGGCTCTGGTGGAGAAACAATGGAAGGAAGGAAGGAAGGAAGGAAGGAAGGAAGGAAGGAAGGAAGGAAGGAAGGAAGGAAGGAAGGAATTTGACACATTTTGGGCAATTAATTGATCTCCCCTGCCCATTGTCAGACTCAGGATATACTGCCATCCCCTTTTCCACACCCAGGAATGCTGTAACCCACACACAGCATTTCTTCAATGCTTCAATGCATTTTCTCCCTGGCCAAACCATGTCCCCATCAGGCAGCAGAGAGAGCCCAAAAGAGACACTTGAGAAATACTGAATTCTAGGTGAGCCCCATCCTGGGGAGAGGAATTAATCAGAGATTATGTTCCACGTGACATATATCCTCAGCAGGTGTAGAAAGTCCAGAAGATTTTTAGGAATTTTACACAAGAGCTCCTCAGTCAGCACTGGTGTACAGGTGGCAATTAGCTTGGCTAAAGGGGAGGAAAAGCAAGTGAAATTTCTTTTTACTGCTCTGACTAATTAATTAGCTAACGATGCATTCTTTTCTCTCCTGGCCTGCCTCTGTGGGGGTGGCAGTGATCCTTTGGGTCCCACGGGTGCACGGGGTGTGGGCCTGCGTGCGCTCCTGCCCTCCCAGCTGCGTGTGCACCCCGGAGAGGAGCTGCTCCGTGCTCTGTGACCGCGCCGGGCTGGGGCAGATCCCCAGCGAGTTCCCCTGCGAAGCCTCCTCCATCAACCTGGATAAAAACAGCATCAAGTTCCTGTCTGAGAGGGCCTTCGGGACGCTGCCCTCCCTCAAATCCCTGTCGCTCAACCACAACAACATCTCCTTCATCACGCCGGGCGCGTTCAAGGGGCTGCCCAGCCTGACGGAGCTGAAGATGGCCCACAACGAGTACATTCGCTATCTCCACACGCGGACCTTCACCGCGCTGCGGCGCCTCGTGAGGCTGGACCTGGCCGACTGCAACCTCTTCAACATCCCAGACAGGATCTTCATCGAGCTGCCAGCTCTGCAGGAGCTGTTCTGCTTCCAGAACAACTTCCGAAGGATTCCGGGCGCCATCAGGGGCATGGAGAACTTGACCCATGTGTACCTGGAGAGAAATAGGATCGAAGCGGTGGCCTACAACTCCCTGCAGGGCCTGACCAAGCTGAAATACCTGAATCTGCAGGACAACAAGATAAATGTCATCCACGAGCGAGCTTTTCAGGGCTGTCAGAGGATGGAGTACCTGTACCTGAATGACAACTTGATCACTGAGCTTCCAGAAAACTCCTTCGATGGCCTGAGGCGCCTGAAGATGCTCAACCTGGGGGGGAATTTTCTCAGGAACATTTCCAACACCTGGTTCCGGGACTTGGGGGAGCTGGAGTTCCTCTACCTGGACCGCAACAGGATCAGCTACATCGAGGAAGGGGCTTTTGAGAACCTCACCAGCCTGGTGGCCCTGCACTTGAACAGCAACAACCTGACCACGCTGCCCTTCTCCGTGTTCGAGCCCGTGTACTTCCTGGGGCGGCTGTACCTCTTCCGCAACCCCTGGGAGTGCGACTGCCGCATCGAGTGGCTCAAGGAGTGGATGGAGAACTACAGGCTGGTCAGGGATATTCCGTGTGCCTCCCCCTCCTCCGTGGCTGGTGTTGATCTGACAGACGTGCTCTTCGAGAGGTCTCCCGAAGGTTACTGCCTCGACCCGGAGGAGCTGAACGTCACGTCTGAGCAGCCGACACCAAGCGAGGAGCCTTGGTCCACCACAGAGAGCAAGTTCAACAGCCTTATCTCCAAACTCTTGCTCCAGATGGGCCTTCCCGAAGAGGTGGCAAATGCCACTGAAGTGTACAGTAACAGCACGCAGCCGGACAGACAGACTGAAGGGGTTTCTTCCAGCGTGAGGGAGGACAGAACCAAGGCTGACTCCTCTTCCTTGTACCTCCCAGCACTTTTGACAGTGATTGTTCTGCTGTGCAAATAGTCCAAGGGCTGCATGGAGCAAGGGTTCTGCTCAAGTCTTTAGATGCTGCACCTACTTAGTCATCAGAGAAAAGTTTTATTGTGGGCCTCTGATACATAACGGGCTCCAAACTCTTCCAGGCTGGGTTTGTTGGATCTGGCTCCAGATTCCCCTGGGAGCTGGTGAATCTGGGTCCCACCCTGGGTGACAAACCTGCCCTGTGGGTGTCCCAGAGCCTCCTGGCTATGCACAGGGAGATGAGCAGCACTATGATCGAATTTTGCCTGGAGATGTGTGATGTTCTGCTGGGAAAGGAGGGAAGAAGGCTCTGTCTGTGGGGTGTTTGTCCCATCAGGCCAGCTTGCGAGAGCAAGATGTTCCATGCTGACTCAGCTTCGTGAGAGCAAGATGAGGCTGCAAAACTGGGCCCCTCTTCGTGTCCTGACAGACACCCACACCCATGGCAGGTGCTGCTGAACAACGGGAAACTATTCCTGATTTCCCCCAGTGGGTGCAGGAGGGAGCAGGGCAGTCCTGGACAACATCCAGGGATGCAGCAGGAAACATGTACAGGCCTCATGGAGACATCCAGGGAACATGTACAGAACTCATGGAAACATCCAAACATGAAGACATCCAGGGAACATGTACAGGCCTCATGGAAACATCTAAACATGGAGACATCCAGGGAACATGTACAGGCCTCATGGAAACATCTAAACATGGAGACATCCAGGGAACATGCACAGGCCTCATGGAAACAAGGAAAGTGCCTGGGGGAGGCACCTGCCCCAGGCAGATCTGGGATGGGCACAGTATTTTTGCTGTGACCACAGGCAGGATTTTGATCCTTTCTCTCCTCCCCGTTGTTCTGATTCTGGTGCAGGAGAACCAGATGGACTCGTGTTTGTCCAAACATTCTTCTCTAAGGCAAAGCTACTTAAACTTATCCTACTTATTCCATAATTTCAATGTGTTTAATTTTTCTGTGAATATATTGTTTCAAGGAATATTTTTTTTATTTGTAGATTATTTCATGGCATGGCAGCAGGGCAGTGCATGGTGATGACAAATGCAACCAGGCCCTATGAATTATTTTGTATTTCCACCACTAATATGTATCTTGTAGTTTTTCATATTATGCCATATTGATAATTTTCTTTTATACAACATCTTAAGTGTTTTATCTTTGAACTTATCAATAACAGCTGCTAATATGACCAGAAAAATGATGTTTTATGTATCAAAGAATATTAATAAAATAATTTGATATTTTACTCACAAAAATAAATTAACTGCTCAAACCTAGGTTTTGGAGTTTTTTTGAGATCCTTGAACAACTCTGGTGATTTTTTTTTGTAGGCTACTCAAATGGGTGCACGAGTGTCCTTTCATAGCCTAGAGCAAATGGCAAGCTATTTATTGCAACATAAGTACTTTCACTTAGAGCCTGACTGTGCTTATGTTTGTGTTAAGCAGCAACACTTGAAAATATAAGTGACTATATAGAGATACACTTCTGTCCAAAAAGATCCACTGCTTTCTAATTAGTGCCAGAGATTTCCAGAGGAAAGCTGAGTCCAGGGAAAACCAAGCCTGCAATGGCTTCTCAGTTATCTGTAGCTTGACCACAGTTTCCCCAGGGAATCAAAATGCCAGATGGTTTGATAAATGCCTATTTGACCTGTTCCGTGAACTAAATTCAATGAGTTTGGATTTCCAGGCTATTTATGAATCCATTAATCTTCTTAAGTGCTAAATTCATCTGAGTATTATAAGAGGCTGTTTTTCAAACCTAGTCCAGCCTGGTGCTGTAGAGGCATATTAGGTTAAGGATGCCTTTACAGGAGCACTGTTTCATCCTGTCAGGGGAGGTTTATCGATAGGCCTGGCACAGATGTAGGGCACAAATGATTGTATTTCACTTCCTATAAGTACAGACACCTCACGAGTGAATTGTTTTTATAACCCACATATTCATTTTCCATGCTGGGGCACATTAAAGCTGAAATCACCTTACTGTGCAATTGCTGAGTAGCTTTCAAGTTAATCAGTGCTTCAAAGATGCAGATCTGAATGTGAAGGGTCTTAAAATGTTGGTTTTGGCAGAGATTGTGCTGTCAGTGATGGGCAAGAGGGCTGTACATTGCACTCAGCTGTGTGACAGCAGGGACACTGACCTTGGGGCTGATGGTTTAAGTGTCTCTTGTGTTCAAACACCTGCCTGGCCCAGAGAGCTTTCCCTGTGCTGCTCTGACACAGCCTGGAGAGTGCTGGCTGACACTGTGCTGGGTGTAATGTCTTCATCTTCCCTGCAGGAACCGGGGCAGACTCCGTGCTCTCCTGCTCTGAAATCCTGCTCTGAGCTGAGAGATCTGCAATCTGTGTTGCCAGTGGCACAGAGCAGCTGGCACATGGCATTCCAAGTGGATTGGGAAAGGTCTGTGAGCCGGTGGTGGCTTTTCTCCTCTCCTCTGTGTTGCTCATTCCTTGAGGAGACACTAGAACTGCCTGCTTTATTCTTTCATGATCCTTGTTTCTAAACTCTTAGCAAATGGCTTGTTTCTCTGATTACTCAGGCAGGTGACAGCGCATAATTACATTTTGTTGGATAAATAGTTTGGATTTTTTCTTTATTTTCTTAGACCAGACTCTCTCAGCAAAATTGTGCTTCAGCTGATAAACCTGAACCAGCTGTTGGTTACAAGTCCATGGCTCAGAGTCCCTTCACAAATGAATGCTGTTTCCAAAATCTGTCTCTGGACTGGGACACCTCCAAAGATGCCAAACCTTTGTCTGTTTGGAATAACTGCAAATATTTTTCAGCAAAGTGATGCTCCCAGCCCTGCCCTCAGCATGAGGTGCTGAGATTTTTTTTGAAGCAATGGGAAGGGATGTGAGCTGCCTGGAGTTAGGATACACCTTCTGACTGAAGATTATTCAGAGAGCTGGTGCTCCCAGGCACCTGAGGTCGGGTGGAAGGCAATTTGTTTTAATGTGTGGTACCTGGTGGCACTGCACTGCTCTGCACTGGTACAACTGGTTTTCATGATATACAAGAGTTACTGTTGGAGCAGAGGGGAGAAGTTGTCAATGTAAATAGAGGAAACAAACAATTTGATTTTTGGATATAACCTCTGAGTCTCAGAATTCTGTTGCTGTGTTGCCCCCCTAGGTTCATACTCAGTGTTTTAACATGAACACATTTATGTCCCCTCTATTTTCTTTAAATGTGCAGCTATTGCCAGGAGCCCCCTGTGAAATGAAGCTATTGGCTGTTTTGTTTCTCTTGTGGATTATCACATTTTTCTGCTTTGGAGAGAAACATGATGTGCAGGACATGAGGAATCGCTGTCCTTTGCTAGAGAGGCAGCAGCTGCTGTCTGAGACTGACAGCTGCTGGCCAGCCAAGGCTCAGGAGCTTCATGGCCACTTTTCAAGGCCTAATTCTTGTCTTCACAACATCTGGCTGATAGCTTTAAAAAATTAAAAATTTAATTTGTTGGGTTTTCCTTTGATAATTTCTGTGGTCACAAATTCAAGAGTTAAATTCCAGAAAATTGGTGTGCCTGCTCTGGAGGATATTAAGCTTTGCAAGAAAATAGCCTGTCATGGTCACTCCTGCTCCAGTGTGAGCTACAGAAGTCAAGGCTCGTTGGGGTGAGAAAACAGTGCTTGTAAATGCCTGCTTTTGCAGAATCAGGGTATGGGATTGCTGCAGAAACACTAAAAATACTGATCCTTCCTCTTCCCCCACTCAAATCTGAAAGAGATCGATGGAGTTTGAAGGATCTGCTGCAATAGCCTTCAAAGCAGTTTTAAAAGAACTTTAAAGAAAATGCTAACCATGGAATAAAGACCAGAAATTATAATTAAAAAAGGTATCACAAGTATTACTTCAAAGAAAAACATGTAGCTAATATTTAAAACATAAACCTAAACATGTGCAAGATCAGCACGAAAGTTCCATTTGTCATGGGGCAAGGCTGGTAGTTTAAACTCCAATATAAAGATGAATACAGAAAATAGATATTTCTGGACAGAGAATTATCTATGCCTCTCACCCAAAGCCTGATTTTGTTGACCCTGTTGTTACTTGAACCAGTCTGATCTTGTGCTCTGTGGTTAGTTTTAGCCTTGAATGGGAGAAGTCAATTTCTTCTGCAGTTCTTTTCAACTTTGATCTTCACCACATCCTTTGATTTTTTTTTGTACTTCCTTCTTCATGTCTTTTAAAGGACTGTTTTAGAGTTAATTCTTAACTTGCACATCATAAACCTTATATTCTCAATGAAAAATACTGAGGAATTTCAAAAAGACCTAAAACTACCATTCGTTTTTCTGTACACACCTGATGGTTTGCTCTTCATGCATTTTCTATGTATTTGCCATTTGGATTAACAGCTGATTTCACTTTGTTCTTGTTCAGTGGGTTTTGTCCTGTGTCAGGAGCTTCTTGACGTGGCTGGAGGTTTGCAATGAGGCTTGTTCTGCCTCCCCTTGTGTTCCACACCCTCCTTTCCACTCCTTTCCTCTCCTGCTTGTTTCTGCTCCAGGCCAGGACTTGCCTGTGCCCTCACTGTGCTGCTCCAGTGATTGAAGCTGGGCCACTGCAATGGCCCAGCTAAAACCAACACTCAACCCTGCCCTCTTTTTTTTTTTTTTTGATGTTTAGGTTCCCTATTATTTCCCCTAATATTTTGTAAGTCAGGTTGGGCCATAAGTGGGTCATAAACTGGGAATAACTGGAATAAAATGCTGTTGTTATATCTGAAAGTGGGACGAGCTAAATGGGAAGGCTGGTGCTCAATTTGCTTAGACTGAGGGCAGCCCCACAGGCACAAGGATATTGGGAAGAGGCTTAGGGAGTTCTTGGGCTTTGTGGGGGCAGATCAGGGCACAAACAAGTAAGCACTGAGCCCCTGGTGAGAGGAGGATGTGCTGGGCTCACAACAAACTGTGGCATGCAGCCACGTGTAAAAATGCATGTAAAAATGTGTGTAAAAATAGAAGTGGTTTTACTTCTGGGCTTTTGGTGATGAGAACAAGGCTGAGTGCACAGTGCCAGGGTGGGCAAATGTGATAAATCAGTAACAAAGGACAACCAGCTGTGCCCACCTAAACTGGGATGGAACTGGCAGCAGCAATTCCTCAGAGTGCTGAATGATTATGTGTCAGTGTGCTGTGACAATAAGAAATACATCAGACTCTAAGTGGACAGGCACTTTCCTGATGCATGAGACTGGTAAAGAGCCAGAGGGCAAAGCACAGAAATAAATTATAAACTTGCAGTCAGACAAAGCTGGTCCTACAAAGATCCCTTTGTCTCTGTTGAAAGCACCTGTGAGCAAGCCAGATATCCAGTGCTGCGTGGATCATGGGCAGTGTGGGACACAAAGGACCACAAATTCTAGGGGTGGGTGAGACATCTCTGCTCTGTGCCACAGGGCACAATGACCTTCACCAGAGGAACTCCTGAGGATGTGAAGTTGATTTTGATTCATAGAGCTTTTCTCCCTTCCTAAGAGTAGGGTTGGGTTTCTGTGTTCTTGCCTCAGTCCTCATCTGTCTGTGGTGGCTCCTCCAGTGATGCTGCCAACCTTTATGACCAAGTCTCACCTGTGGATCTGTGACACCTAAGGACCAGCCCAGGACACCCCTTGGCCTAAGGTTAAGAGAGCACAGGAGGCATTTATGCCAACACAAAGGAATAAAAATCACCATGTAGCTCTCAAGGATACAGAGCCTACCTTTTTGAGAGGAAATTTTTTTCATTAAATCACTAAAATGGGACAAATCACTGAATGATAGAATGGCTTGGATTGGAAGGGATCTTAGAAATCACCTAGGTCAGGTTGCTCAAAGTCTCAACCAATCTGGCCCTGAACATTTCCAGGGATTGGGCATTCCCAACTTCCTTGGGCAACCTGTGCCAGTGCCTCACCACTCTCACAGTAAAGAATTCCTTCCTTATACCTAATCTAACCCTCCCCTCTTGCAGTTTAAAGTCATTCCCCCTTGTCCTATCACCATATTCTCCTGTAAAAAGTCCCTCCCCATCTTTCTTGAGGTCCCCTTTATGTACTGGAATGCCACAGGGAGGTCTCCCCTTAAAAAAAGTGTTTGTCAGAAAGACTTTGGGAAAAAAGAAACAAACCAGAGAGGAGGCAGATGCAGGTCAGCAGGAGGAGAGTTGCAAGTGGTGTCACACTGGAGAACAAGGTTTAGAAAAACAATGCCCCAAAGCTGTGAACTGGAAATAAAACCAAAAAAAGATATCTACATCCATCCCACAGACTGCAAGGTCC